ATCAGGTTCTCTTGTTAGTATCTGTCACTGTCACCCTTTACTTTTGCCTGATAGCATTGCCCCAAATTTAGAATGACCTATTTATTGGTGGTTGTATGTTTGTCCGTCCCCCTCAGGGCCAGTAAGCCCTAAAAGGGCAGGGCCTGTGCTTATCCTGTGGCTCCAATAATAAGGAAAGTGCCTGGAGTAGGGTTTATCATTTTTCTAGCAAGTCGAATTTGGAAGGGGGGGAGTAATTAAGCTTATTTATTTATTTTTCAACAGAGGTACTGGGGATTGAACCCAGGACCTCGTGCATGCTAGGCACACACTCTACCACTAAGCTATATCCTCCCCCTTGAGCAAATGAATGAATGGAATGAATAAATGAGCGTGATGAGAAGGCAGGAGGGAGGCAGGAGGAGGGAGAATGAGAATGAAAAATGGAATTGAGGAGGGAAGATGGGGAGTAAGGGGAGCGGATGGTGATGAAGAGGATGGTGTGGTGCGCAAAGATGAGGCTAGGGATGAAGGGAAGAAGAGATGGGAGAGGACCAGGCAGAAGGGGAGGGGTTCTTGTGCTGGGCCTGTGTAAAGCTTCCAGACTGAGTGGGCTTCCCTGGAGCTCTGTCCCCTGGCCACGCTGCTTGCAAGGTTTGAAGGCAGAGCCGGTGGGCGGGGCTAGACTTTATCTTGGGGTGCAGCCCTAACCTCAGATGGTGACAGAGCTGGAGCCAGCAGGGGTTTTGCAAACCGTCCCGATTGCAGCAGGCCCGCAGTCTCACTCGGGACGGGCGGGTGGGGCCTGGGCTTATCTCCCAAGTGCAGTCCTAACCTCAGATGGTGACAAAGCGGGAGCTACAGGCGTTTTGCAAACCGTCCCGATTGCAGCAGGGTTGGATGGCCTGGCCAGGGGTGATAGTGCTAGGTGTAGAGAGCAACAGGGTTCTGGACTGTTCGGGGCTTCAGGGTGAAGCTTGGCTTGTGGGGCATGGGGGATCCAGTCTGTGGATGGCTTGCCTCTAGCCACCTCAGACCCCTGTTTCTAAAAGAGAAGGGGAGGCCACAGCTCCGCAGGTGGGTCTCTCCCTCGTAGGAAGCCTTCCTTCTCCCAAATCCAAGGGCCCTTCTGTTGCTCCCTGAAGTCAGAATTCAGGGCCAGGTGCAGCCATTTTCCTCCAAAAAGACCCATCATTTCCCCATAGAGCAGCCTCAGGGAACTTCTAATGGGCCTTCTCAATCAACTTCTCATTGAAGTTTTTCTGGGGCCAAGGCAGGCCTGCTTAGAGGAGCAGGCAACAGAGGCCAGCCTGGAGTCCTGTCCAGGTTGGACCATTCCCGCTGTGGAGCAGCCCCGGCTGAGTTCCGAGAGGAGAGGTCTGCCTGCTGGGGGCTGGCGTGGGTGACGGGAAGTGACTGGCCTGGAGGAGGTGCACAGGCCTTCAGGCAGTCCTGGTTATTGTCGCCTCAGCATCTCCTGTACAGCCCCCTCCATCCCACAGTCCCCTCACTGGCTTGGGGCAGGGTAGGGGGTGGAGGTGAGGAGGCCCCTTTCCACCCCGACAACCCCAACCGGGATCTTGCAACACTGGGATGGGGGCCCTGGGGGCCCGGGCGTGTGGCAATCCGTGGGGGGTGGGGTGGGGAGGTGTGCACGGAGCAGGGGGAGCGGCTTTCACAAGCGGCCGCCACCGCGGACTGACCTTGGTAGGCTCACCTTGGGCAGCTTCCTCCCTCTTGGCGGTATCGCCAAACATCCTTCCTTCTCCACTGCTTCCCTGGGGTCTGAGATCCTGCCTCTCAGCTCAGGACTTTCAACCTGGTCCCCAGTTTTGCTCACGAAGGAAAAGTGGGCCCGAGCTGGGAGGTGTAAAGCAAAGGGAACGCCATGTGTGTGCTGTTTGGACTTGATTTGCCGGTTTTCCAAAGTTCCGGTGTCCCGGGCCTCTCACCTTCCCGGGCAGGAGTGGGGCTAACCGCCCAACCCGGCAGTGCCTTCTTTCTGCCGCGTCCGGCCCCCGCGGCATCCCTGCGCGGTGGTGGGAGGAGAGGCGCAGGGCGCCGGGACCCTGCTCTCCCACCTGCCCGAGCTCCTTTGGGAACTCCTACCGGCAGAGGGAATGAAGGCCATCCTGGAGGGAGGGAAGCGGTGTTCTTGCTGGTCGGGTCCCTTCTTCCTCCTTTCCATCCTGCCGGCCTCATTGGGCTTTTCTTCCTTTTTCTCCATCGGGACACCTCAGGGCCTTGCCATTTGCTCTCCCCTCTGCTCCCCACTACCCCCTCACCCCCCAGTTTGGCACATCCGTCTCCTCCTGGACAGTTTTCAAGGTTTCCACTTCAACGTCACCTCCTCAGAGAGGCCCTCCTTGACTACCCCAGCTAAAACAGCCTCCCTTCCTGCTTGTTTAGTCGGTTTCCCCAAGGGGCATATTCAAAGGGAGTAATCTTTGAATTTATAGAGGTGGGAATGGGTAGGATTAAGGAAAAGCAGCAGGAGTCAGGAGCTCTGGCAGCAGCAAAGCCGTCACCACCTCTAGGCTGTGAGCCCAGCTGCAGAGAGGACCAGTCCTTCCCGGAGGGGTTGGGGCTGCCCTCAATCACCTGTGCTGCCAGGACCTCGGACGGGAGGAGGGGTCTGTAGGGGAGAGGAGGGCATTCGGCACATTGGCTTGTTGCCTTTCTCTTCTTACTCCTTCAGCTACTGGCTGGGTTTGTCTCAGTCACCAGTGTTGCCAGCACCATGCAAGGCCTTGGCACAGGAAAGATGCTCAACAGATACTTGTTGAATAAGTTACTTTGGCCCAAACCAGTTGCAGTCAAGTTAAAAGCCTCATTCCGAAAGTGTGACTTCGGGCCAGTTGTCGTCTCCCTGGGATACGATCTGCCACAGAGGGTTGGGTGTGCCTGCCACTCGGTGTCACGCAGGGACAGGTGTGCGCTTCTCTCACCTGGGGCTGTGGCTCTTCTCCAGACCTGGTGACAGGCATCTGCCCTGAGGATGCCCCGAGGGTGCTGGGGGCTGGGAGGAGGCACAATTCAGAGCTGTGGGAAAGAAGCTTGGGGCTGATGCTGAAGCAACCCATGTCCCATCACCCAGAACCTTGAAAATAAGTACCAGGGCAGTGGTCTTGAGCTGAGAGGAGGAAATCCGGAGGTTGAGTCACTTACCATGCTCTGTACAAACCCCCTTTATGCAACCCATCCCCTTGGGCTGAAAGGAAGGTGTGGGATTCTCCCAGGCATCCACAGAGATGGGCGCTGCCCCTTTCCCAACTCAGGCGGTGAGGGAATAAACCATAAGCCATCTAGCGAGGTTCAGATCTGTCTGCCCAAACTAGACCTGGGGCAGGGGGATCTGGGGCACAGATGTAGGAGAGATGGTGCCTGAGAGAAACAGAGGCAAAGGCAAAGGCAGAAAAGGGACTGAGCCCTGGGTGAGGCAGGCATGGGGCACACAGATGTCGGAGGTGTGAGAAGTCACTGACACTGGGGATGTGGAGATGGGAGGGGAAGAGAGAGAGAGGTGAACTGGGAGGATCCAGACACCAGACTCTCCCTCTCAGAAGGTTATTCCTTGATGTCTAATGCTGCTTTCTCAGCATAAGCCTCTAAGTCATTGGTGGCCTAGGAGAGACTCTAGCCAGCCGGTACTGCGTCTCGTGTCTCTGGCTTTGCTGGGCAATCCCTGATTACTGATTGAATGGGATCTGTGCCCCCCACACTGTTCCGTCTGCCTCCGAGGGGAGGGTGTGAGCACGGAGTAGAGAGACGGGTGCCTGTGCAGAGGCAGCAAAGTGCCTGGGTGAACTTGCGGAGAATGTCTCTTATCCCCTCGGCCCTCAGCTGCTTTATCTCTCAAGTGTGGCTCGCACTATCTTGTTGTCTGAGGGAAAAGCCTACCAGATGGTCTCTTGAGGTCTCTTCCAGCCCCTCGAGATCTGTGATTTTATGGAGCTAATTTTGGTTCTGCCTCTAACCCATTGCATGACTCTGGGTAAGTCCCTTCCCTGTCTGAGGCCTCAGTCTCCTTACCTGCCAAAGGGAATGATAACAAGTCTTCATGCTTACCGTATGCCAGGCCCTATTTATCTATGAACCTAACAGCACCGCTCCTCCTCCCATTTTGCAAATGAGGAAACTGAGACACAGAAAGAAGCCACTAGCATGAAGTCACACAGCTGGAAAGTAGCAGAGGGAAATTCAAACTGAGGCTGCCAAGCACCGCAGTTGTGTCCTTTCCTTCTTCTCCTTTCCATCCCGCTGGCCTCATTGGGCTTTCCTGGGCTATCATGTCACTTAGGCTAGAGTTCTACGAAAAAACTGCTTTCAAAGTGGGGTTCACAGCACAGGTGGGTTTTCATCCTCTTGATTATCAGTTTTCTCGTATATGAACAGGTCTTGAGGCCTTTCCCAACCGATGTGTCCCCCAAGCAATCAGATTCTTTAGGGAACCCAAACCAAAGGGAACGAGGGACAAAGGTGGGAGCTGGTGGGTGGGAGCCTGGGGGAGCTGTCAGTCTGGTAGACTGAAGTTTTGGAAATGGGGAGAAGGGATTCAGTCCAGATCAAGAGCTCAGGGACCATAAATCTATCAGAGTCATCTGGAATTTTCTCTTGGTCCCCTGGGGCAGGAGCTCCCAGACCTATGTATACGTCAAGGTGACAGAGAGCAGGCCTGGGGTCAGCAGGCCTGGGCAGAAGGGGCTGGAGGTGCTGGGATCTCCCCGCAAGCTGCCGAGCTTTGCTAGGAGAGTATCCGAGCCTTCTGGTGGCAGCGGGGGTGACTTCAGTGTCGGGTACAGAGCTACAGAGCGGGCCTGGTCGAGGGAGAGAAGACGGAGTGACAGATGCGTGGCCTGGCTGTGTGGTGTGCCGGGGAGGGGGAGCTGTGGGCAGTGCATAGGCCTGGAATCAAGAGGTATGCAAACCTAGACCCATGCACACCACACACGCAAACACACACACACACACAGAGGCCCAGGCCCAGTGTACAGCCCCGGCACCAAGTCATAGTGCAGTTTTATTCAGCCACAGAATCATCATGCGGGGGCCTGCCCTCCTCCCTTGCTAGCCGCTGCCGTTTGTCCAGGGTCTTTGTCTCCAGCTCGGCCTGGGAGGGGCTCTAGGGCCACAGCAGGGTGGGGGTCCCCAGGATCAGGCCGGGCCCAAGTGCTGTTGCCCACAGTCTGCTGGCCGACCTCAGCTGCAGCCCCCCACGCCCTTGATGAGGTTGGCGGCCTCGGGGATCTGGCGGAAGAGGTTGCGAAGGGTGTCCAGCTCCTGGGTCAGCTGCTCCACCCGGCTACGCAGACGCTCGTTCTCAGCCATGTACTCCAGCACCTTCTGCTGCGTCTCCAGAATGCGCCTCTTGGCCTTGTCCCGGCTCTTGCGCACGGCGATGTTGTTCCGCTCCCGCCGCAGCCGGTACTCCAGGCTGTCTTTGTTCACTGTCTTCTTGCCCTTGTGTGAGGGGCCGGCCGGGGAGGGCGCCTTGAGGAGGGGGCTGCAAGGGGGCGCAGCAGCGGCCAAAGGGGCCTGGAGGGGAAGGCACAGAGGGACAAGAGTGAGGGCTGCTGGGAAGCAGAGCAGAGGCAGGGCAGAATCCCAGCAGCCAGAGCACACTTGGGGCATCAGAGGGATGTGGGAGTCAGAGCCAGCTCCTGGCTCCTGGTCAGAACAGCCACTGCCCCACCAGACGCACAGGGTTCTCTGCCCTGACCCAAACTCCCTTTCATGTCCCCACACTCTCTGAGGACACTTTCCTTCAGTCTATCTTGAGTCTCCCGTTCTACCATCAGCAGGCATTTCCTCTTGTAGAAGCAGGAGGTGGCACAGAGACAAGAAGAGGGGGCTGGTGGGCAGCAGAGGAGCTGGTGGGGGGGGCCTGAGGTCAAGGCAGGTCAGCTGGTCACAGGGACTGCAGGACACGTTGGTTCTAGCCACACATGGGGGATCAGGGTGGGAGTGAATTCACAGAGAAGACAAGAGGGGTCATGACTGGGTGGCGAGCACAGAGGACTTGGGGTGAGTCGATTTCACAGAGTAACACCACACACAGACCCCATCTGCACGAGCCTCCCTCCAGCCCCTGGGTGGCGGGGAGGACAATTGAGTGGCTCTTACCTTGAGGACGCGCAGGGGCTGGCTGGGTGTTGCCAGGGCCGGGGGCAGGTGCATGGCTGTCTGCCCACAGTGCGCCACTTGGTACTGCAGAGGGTTGTAGCCGCTGCGGCTGGCCCCCCGGCTGCCCTCGGGCCCCGAGGCTCCTCCTTCACGGCCACGGTCCTGGGGTCGTAGCTCCCCGGGCTGCTGTAGATGCCAGGCCCCAAGGCCTTCCTGTCAGGGCCGAAGGTGTGTGGAGGGTAGGTGAAGGGCCGCGGGTCAGGCGGCAGGTAGTGGGGGAAGGCAGGGGTTCCGGGGCCCTTAAGGCCTCTGGCCTCGGGTGCCGGCTTCACAGCGAAGAGGTCGGAGAGGAGCTGTTCCTCCCCAGACTCGATGTAGGCAGACAGGTCGATGGAGGCCTCATGCTCACACATGTCCCCCAGCTCCCCGGGCCCTGCTCGGGCCCCTGAGAACTCGAGTGGCTGCTGGCCAGCCCGGGGCTCACACTCGTAGTAGGTCCCGTGGGACATGGCCGGCCCGCCCCCTCAGCTCCCCGCCCCTGGCCGCCCTGCTCTTGGGGCACCCTTTGGGATGCACGGCTTGCTATCTCCCCCTGCCCTAGATCTGCCCTAGATCTACCCTCTCCGATCTCCTGTCACCCACTCTGCGTGGCCTCTCTCCTCCCTCCTCTGCTGTTTCCTTTTCCTTCCTCTGTAGTCAATGCCTCTTTTCTCTTCCCTTTTTTCCCCTCACTCCCTGGGGTGACTCAGGGAGGGGCAGGGCGCACCCCGGAGGGAGGGATGCAGGCCTTAGAGAAATGGAGCCCCTGGCCGAATTAGCAGTTGGGGGGCACTCTGGTCAGGCTCAAGCCCGGGTTCTGAGATGCCCAGGAGCTGATGCTTCTGGGAATGCCTCCTCCTCCCTGTTGAGTCCAGGGGATTCCAGAGTCCTTGTCGAGGACAACACCTCACTCTGAGTGTCCTGCCCCCTCCGACTTCCAAAAAGTCCTGTGCAGAATGAGGTGCCCCGCAGAATGAAAAGAGAAAACCCTCTCCCAGTGCCGACCCCCAGCCTGATCTGAGCTCCTCCCTTGACACGCCTCCCTCTCAGTCCCCTGCAGTGCTGGGCTCCACCTACCCCCAGGGCCACTCAGTTCCTTTTGTAGCCCCACCTCTCCCAGCCACTCTCCTGGGTGCAGGCCAGGGGGTGTTGTTTGAGGGGTTTAGGAAGTAGTGATAGGTCTGGGACCATACTCTGGGGCCTGTCTCGTGGTGCAGAAACGCTCACTTGCTAGGTTTTTGCACAGGGTCTCTGCAACAGCCCCAGCCCTCACGTGTTTCCAGCCGTGGCAGCTTGGCACTGTCCCTGACTGCCCAGGCTTGGCTGAGGCACCTGGTCAGGGCTTGGGCCCTGTGCCCCAGGCCCCAGCAGGCTGCTGCCCCGGGAACCGACAGCTGTACTCCTCTGGTGGTTCCAGTGCCTAGTCTGCACCGCCAGAGGCTCAGGCTGGCGCCCTGCCCTGATCTGGTCCTGAGGGCTCTGCCCGTTTCCTGTGCCCAGGCCGCAGGGCTCAGGCACTCGGTGCAGCTCAGTTTGCTGTTTTTCCTTCTGCATGGCCGTTCTCTGACCTCTATGCGTGTCTCTTGGGTCCACTTCCTCTTGTGAGGCTTGAGAAGCCTTCTCTTTTGTCATCACCTCTTCCTGGGGCTCTGTTTCAGGGTCTCCAGGAGAAGCCCATGGCTCGCTCTCTGTGCTTTTGGTCTCAGGCTGCCCCCCCTCCGCCCCCACCGTCCCTTCCCTTTTCTCTTTCCTCTGGGAACTCCCCACTCCCTTCTGTCAGAGACACCTGCTTTTACCTGTTGCGTTTCATCTGCAAAAGGGACTATAGGTGCAGTGAAAAGAAAAGGACACAGAGAAATATATCACTGGCTCTTTTATCACCAGAAAAACCAGTGAGTGCCCTGCGGAGGCCAGCAGGTTTATGTCAGGCACACCAAGGATCAGGCCACAGTGGGGCAAATGCAGAGGGGATGTATGTGGCACTAATTGCTAAAATAAAGTGCACAGATGGAGACAGGGCTGCCTGCAAGGCAGGCAAGTTACCCTTCTACTTGGCACCCCCCCCAACCCCCACCTCCTCCAGGAGCTTTCTGTGTAAAGTTTGAGGTACTTTCTCTGAAAGCTCTGACCTGACCTTGAAAGCCCTGGGGAGACCTGCTTGAATTCCAGAGACAGGTGTCAGGAACCAGATGGGGAGATTTCTGCCTTTTGCCCATTTCAAAGGACCCTGTGGCAAACAGGTGTCAGAGCTGAGCTACTTCAGTTCGGCGGCAGTGCCTCAGTCAACCACCAGGTGGTAATGTTGGTCCAAAATCCAGGACTCGAGGGGCTGCTATGGTCAGGAATCAGGAGGACGGCAGAGGGCAGGCTCCCACAGCCCTGTCAAGGGCAAGACGCCCTGAAGGAGGAGGAGGAAGAAGAAACATGGCTGGGATGGGGGCTTGCAGTGCAGTTACAGGGAGAGAGGGCAGGCAGAGAGGATTGGGGCCAGGCCCTTGTCTCAGTGAGGAGGAATTCTGTCCCCCATCAACTACGAAATAGTGATGATGGTTAAGGCCTTGCATTTTCTGATATTACGCTTTTTCTATCATCGAAACATATGCTTTTCCTTGCAGACCATTTCCCTGTGATTTAAACAAGAAAGTAACCAAGACATCTGGTATTTTTATCCTTGCCTTATAAAGAAGGAAAACCAAGCTTAGAGTCTGAGCTGCTCAAGGTCGTGCAAGGATGTGGCGTTTCTCTGGAGGGAAAGGGCAGTGGTCTAGTTCCTGAAACCCCCAGGAAAGAAGAGAGGGTAAGGGGGAGCTGTGTGACCCAGAGAGCCTTCTTTGCCCTCAGTTGGCCACCTTGGGGGATGGGGAGCCGGTGTCAGTCGCGGGCGAGCCGGCCCTGGAGGAAGCTGGGAGGTGTGCAAACAGGGCGGCAGGAAATGAGAAAGCTCAGGAGCGTGGCAGGCCGTGGGGGAGATAAGTGATCTCCGTCCCGCACCTCCCGGGCTGACGTTGCTGGTGCCTGGACAGCCGTGTTTCTCAGTAACCGAGTGCTCTCTGGATGTCTGGGCAGGGGAGGAGGGGGTGCTGGATGGGAAGTGGGTGGAGGGGGCCGTGCCAGTCAAGGGCTGGGGGATGCTTGCGGAGTTGCTCAGGAGGTCAGCAGGATCTTTTTCTCCTTGTGGCTGCAGGCGATACCTGTGTGCATTAACTAAATAAAATTACCTATATTATCTTAATGACTTCGTAACCGGCCTCAGTTCAAACACCACCAAGTCTTTCCGACAGAGAGGCCACCGAGCGTGGCAGTGACGCATCAGAGAGAATTGGGGAGTTACTTAATCTGACTTGTAAAATGGTAGCGGTAACGCCTACTTTGTCAGTTGTTTAATTAAACTTTGAATAAGATAGTGGATGGGAAGCAACTGGTCTCAGCCGGTCAGTCTCCTTCCGGCCCTCCTGGGACTGCCCCCTGTGGTTTATCTGTGTCTCCTAAGCGACATGCTATCTGCAGCCTTGTCTGACGCCTCGATTGGACAGGCATTTCTGAGCACGTAGGTCCCAGGCACCGTGGAGGCTCTGGGAATCTGGTGGGTCCAGCCCTGCCTGCGGAAGCTGGCAGCCCAGCGGGTGGACAGTGATGCTGTGAAGTGTGCATGTATGCCCCGTGTGCATTTTTTGTCTTCTTTCTCCCACAGACTCTTTGCTCCTTGAAGATGGAGTCGGATACTTCTTCATCCATGATGACCATATTGCCTGAACTAAAATTAAGGACGGGCGGGTTGACTTATATGAATATTCTTATAGAGACAGTGGAACAGAATATTTGAAGACTGTGCTGACTTGGAAAACTCAGTGATAAGTTTGTTATTTCCACAGCACATAACAAAATCCTAGATGCAATGGTTAGAGAAAGATTTGTTGTGTGACTACCTTAAGAATGCATAAGCAGCTATGATTTCAGTGACCTCCAAATGCTCCCAAATTGCCTAAGGTCAGAGCAGTAAAGTGACTGACAGGGTAAAGGCCCAGGTTAAAAATAAATGCCTGTTGCCCAGGAGGAGACCCACATTTGCCCTTTTGAGCAGGTTGAAAAGATCAGCAAGTGTCACCTTACAGAGAGAGAGGGGGGCCCCCAGGGCCAAGTGTCTCCAGGGAGTGAGAGGGGATTGGGGAGGGCTGGATCTGCCTTGATGGGTGAACAGAGGAGCCCTCGGGTGGCCTGGGGAAAGGAAAAGTGTGTGTTGGGGATCCGGGGGTCCCCAAGGGTCAATGTGAGGCTTGGAGAAGGGCCTCTTGCACAAGTCTGGCCTCTGCCTCGTTTTTCCCTCACTCTTTTGGGACAGCCTTGGGCTGGGAGATTGAAGAACCCTCTGAGATTGGGGTCAGTCTTCTTTTTTCTTCCCTCTAAAGGTGCTAAATAGGTTAAATGACTTGCCCAAGGCCACACACCTGTTTGGTGGCTGAGCTGGGTCTCAGAGCCAAGTGTCTGTACCCTGTGAATGGCGAGCCACCAGCTTGAATCTAAAAGGACACCAGCCACAAAACAGGAGTGTTGGGGCCAGGCCAGGGCTGGGAGTGGAGGCATCTTGCCTGCCAGTGTCCTCACAGTGTCCCAGATAGTGAAGGTTGATGTCTTAACCTATACCCACCGCCCCCACCATCCCCACCCTCACATCTGTCAGCAGTGCTGGCTCTGGAATGACGCTGTCCCAGGACAGACAGCCAGGAGGGCTGCCCACAAGCGTCAGCCTCCTCCAGCAATTAACCCAGAGCACCAGGAGGTACTTGTCCTTCCCTAGATTGCTTCCGTTCTTTCCTAACTTCTCAGCCTCCTAGTCTTCCACCTGTACAGCTGAGTGGACCCCCACCTCACCTCCAAGTCCCTCCCATTAAGCCCTGGGAATCCAACTGGGTGCTCTCCCAAGCCTCCCACGGGGGTCTCTCCACAGGCTCAGCGTGTCCCTTTCTGATGCCAGAAGCCTTTGCAGACTGGGCCTGGGGGGACCACGCCTGCCTCCGCCTCCCTCCACTCAGCTTGGTGCTACTTCCCAGGCAGCTTGCAGGCTCTCAGCAGGATACAGGCAAGAACTTAGTAACACTTTTGACTTCCCAGAAACAATGCGAAGGATTTTGGTTCAAAATGAGAGGAAGCTGTTCAAATGTGCTGGCACTGGGTCCCTCGGATAGCTCGAAGTTACAGAGAGTGAGGGCCTTCAGGAATGTCATCCTGGAAGGAATGACCAAAGACCTCCCTCCCTCCTCCCTCTGAAGCTCACTGAATTATTAACACCACCATCTTTGTTTCCATTTAAAATTTTATTACATCAAAAGAAAAAGAAACCCTCACAAAACAAAACAAAATTCTAAAACCTAAACCAACTCAAAGATAGAAGATTATTATCCAGGTGTAACTAAACCCCTCCCCGCAAAAAAACCTTACATTAAAAATCCAAAAGAAATAGAAATGCCAGCTTCAAAAATATTTATCCAAAAAAGTAAGGCATCCACTTTACAAAAAACAAAACAAACAAAAAAAAACAATAACTGAAAGAGGGAAGGAGGGTGGAGAAATGAGAAGAGGGAACAAGAGGATGGTCCCCTGACCCTCCAGGGGCCAACCCCAGTCCACCTGGAGTCTGCTCTGAAGGGACCATGACTCGGACCAAATTCGCATCTCACCAACGCGGGCTCAGGCAGGCCGGGTGGGAAGCTGGGAGACCCGAGTGGGTCAGGAGGGCTCCCAGGGATTCCAGTTTAAGCAGACAGGATGGGGAGTTTGGGGAAGGGGGTTTCTGCTTGGGATAAAAGGATCCAGTCCTTAGCACAACAGGTGTGACTGGGAGGCTGCAAGGGCCCAGGGCAAACACTAGTACCTTCTTTGGAGCACAGGGAATGGCACCCTCTGCCTGCAGGACAGGACGGCCACAAGTCCACATACCACAGAGGATGGGCGTTTTTGAGGGCCTCCAAAGTGGGTATCTTCTGCCACAGCCTTCTTATTCTGCCCTGGAGGCTGTCCAGACAGGACAGTGGTGGTAGCAGAAAGGAGGGAGGGGTTATCTGAGTTGGGGGAGGTGGGAGGAACTCGCCTTCAGAATACCTTTCTTCCCGGTCTCTGAGGCTGTGGGATGTGCACCTCTGGGGAGGTGGGAAAGAGCCCGCCCTCCTGGGAAGGCTTTTCCTACCAGGTCTGTCTGGAGGGTTGGTATTTTTAGGTCCAGTTCTTGGATGGGAGGTGACTTAAGGCTGATTTGGCTCGGCTTTCAGGCATGAAGGGCTTGGGGAGCCTTTACACCCATCGGTCCCAGAGCCAAGGTCCAGAGAAGAGGAGAAGGGCAAGATGGGGGTGCCGGCAGTGCTGGCTGCCTGGGGCTGTTGGCGCGGTGCTGCGGGGTAACAGGGTGACGGCTTCTTCCCAAGGGGCTGGGAGGGAGGAGGAGCGGAGCTGCTTTGTCATTAGGAGAGAAATGTCCACTGCATTGAAAATAAGAAACTTTCTGACTTCAGGAAGCTTTGGCACCGAGTTGGGGGCAGGATGCAGGGGCAGGGGCAGGGCTGGGTTTCTGCAATCTGAGCCTTTCCCAGTCGGTTCCACAGGCCTGGGTGGGGTTAGGGGGAGGGGGCAGTTCTGCTTGTTGGTCCTTAGCTCAGTGGGGAGTATTGTCTTATCAGGAACCTCACTCTGCTCAGGGGGCCAAGGCTGGGGAGGGGGAGAAGTGGGGAAGAGGGCAGAGGAAAGCATTACCTCTGATTTCTTGGGTCCCTAGTGAAGGGAGGGGGATCTGGGGCTCTCCAGCTGACCTTTAATTGTGACAGATCTGCTTAAGTCTGTCCCTCCCAACTGACTCACTGCTGCTGCCACGGTCTCTTGGAGCAGAGGCCTCCCTTGGGCTCAGGGGAGGGAAGGCAGTACTGAACTCAGGTTCCTGAGGAAGTGAATGAGGGTGTGGGCTGGGAGGGAGGGTCCTATAGGGCATCCCTGGCTGCTCCACTCTCCTCTAACAGCTTGGAGCGTGGGCAGCCCTGGTAGGGGGCTTTGGACGCAAAGCTTTGTGGGCAAGAGGAGCTGGATCTTTGGGTACAAATGTCAGTGTCTTTGTTTATGGTTTCTCACCATCCACACCCAGGTCCTGCCCCTGTTAGAAGCAGAGGTGTGAGTGATTTTGTGTATGTGTGTGTGTGTGTGTGTTGGGGAGACCCAGGCAGGGAAGGAGGATAGAAAGGGGGATGAAGGAGGAAGGAAGCAGCTGAGAGGGGATGGTGATCCTCAGGGCTCCACAGCATCCTTGTCCTTAGAGGCAGGGGGTTGGTAGATGGACTGATTCTGTAGCTTCGTGTCCTCATGTATCTCCTCTGTCTCTGAGTCCTCCTCCACCTTGGGGTACACAACCACACACATCTTCTGGCTCACCAGGGTCAGCAACTCTGCAGGAGGAGGCCACACAGAAAACAGGTCAATGTCAAGCTTCCCACCAACCTGGACAACCAGGCTGTGACCCTTCCAGCTCTCTTCATCTGGCCTCATCGTCTGGCCTCAGCAGAGCTGCCAGTGTCGTTAGGAGACTCCCTCTCAGGAGACGGCCACCTCAGCCACCTCCTCTGGGTCTGGGCAGCCCGCTTGCCGGTCACTCCTTCTTACCAAGGCCCCACGCCCATTGATCATCAGCCTGGGCAGCAGCTCCTGCAGGATGGCTACTCTCGCAGGCCTAAGTCCTGTGTGGGGATGTGCAATGTTCTTCTCTCCTCAGAGGTCTGTGGGAAGGCACCCACCCTTCCTTCCCCCGATTGGTCTCCAGCACTCTATGGACCAGCCTAAGCCTCTAGACCCTGGGGCAGGGAGCTCCCCTGCCAGACCATTATATCCCAGGCTGGGGACCCTCTAGCCACCCAGAGCCTTCAACAACTCACCGATGAACTTATTGAAACACCTGGGCTTGTGTTGCCAGTAAACACCCAAGAAATAGACAGGCACCCCTGTCAGCATGATGGCCAGGCCGATGCCACACACCACGGGCTCCGACCACAGGCTGAAGACCAGCAGGAAGGCCCAGAACAGCAAGTAGATGATGGGGAACAGCAGGTTGACCTGTGGGTCGGAGGCACTGTTAGCTGTGGGGACCCCGCAGCCCCCGGGATCGGGGGGCTCCCTCTTCTTCACCCACGGGGAAGCCTTTTGAGGGCAAAGCTAGGCTTCGCTCAACTCTGTGGCTCCCACATCCTGAGCCTTGATAGGGCAGGTGCTGTGTCAACAAATGTTGGTGAAGGTGGGCAGTGGGGCAGTTAGAGTCGGGGAACTAGGGACGGGATGACCCTCATTGTCCTCCCAGGGGAAGGATCAAACAAGGCCGTCCCTCTCACCAGGGTCAGTCCTGTTTTATTTTTAGCAGTTTGAGAGAATAAACCTGTCAAGACCAGAGAAATCAGGAAACCTAGCATGGCATAAGGCAGTTGGGGGGCCTTGACTTTACTTCAGAAAGAAGCAAACTCTGTGGGCTCCACCCTCTCTTGGTGACCACGGTGCTGTCTTCTTCAAGACTCTAGACTCAAGACGGGAAGGTATAGCTCAGTGGTAGAGTGCTTGCCTAGCATGCACAAGGTCCTGGGTTCACTCCCCAGTACACCCATTAAAGTAAGTAAGTAAATAAATAAACCTAATTACCTCCCCTCTCCCCAAAATTAAAAACAGGACTCTAGACTCAGCTGCCTTTCTCCTCCTTGTCCTCTCCTCTCAGAGGAGATGGAGGGAGATGGGGTTATTCTACTTCCTCTTCCCTCTAGCAGGCTTTCTAAGAGCAGGGGAAAGGTGGCAGTGAAAAATTTAGAGAACCCTCGATTTCCTCAGCTGGAAGAATCTTCTAGAAGTATCTAGTCTCTCTGTGTTTCCAGAATAGGACTGTTCAAATAGCTCAGAGATATACCCTGTTCTTCTAATTTGCAGGAGAACCCGTAGCACTCCAGTGTCTTTTGTTCTGAGCAACTCCATCTGTTCCTATCACAAAGTTATTTCTTGTAGCAATCAATAGGTTCACCAGGCACCCTACCATGTGTAGGGCCATGGTAATTTTAAAGGGGAAGAATATGGAGGGCTGAAATGGACCGCAAAGACTCAAGGAAGAAAGGGCCTTAAGCGTGGAAAATGGTAAATATTTGGATAGGCAGATGGGAGAGGGAACATTCTGGGATATGTGAATCCAGCTACCAGGAGTGACAGGCAGGGGACTGGTCAGACTAGAAGGTCCAGGAAAGATCAGCTGACTTAGCCCCGTAGGAAACAAAGGACTGACATGATGGAAGAATCACTCCATCTAACTTATTCCTCTAGCTGCAGTTTGCTCTGGTCCTGCCCCCAGTGGAGAATGGAAATGGCTGCTCCATTCACACATGGCCCTTGCTTCCCAAAGGGTCTCTCACCATCATGGAGATGATCAGTTGTGGTCAGTAGTGAATACAAGGTGATTTAAAAACTCTGAGTTTGGGGGGAGGGTGTAGCTCAGTGGTAGAGTGCCTGCTTAGCATGCACGAGGTCCTGGGGAACCCAGGACCTCCATTAAAAATAAACAAATAAATAAGCCTAATTACCTCCCTCCCTTAAAAAAAAAAAATACCAAGCTTAGCTAGGACCAGTGGAAGATGGGAAGGGGGCTCCAAAAAGAGGTTCTCGCACCTTGATAGGGCGGAGGATGTTAGGCTTCTTCCAGCGAAGAACTATCTGTCCAGCAACCGTGACGCCATAGAAGAGGTAGTTGATGAAGCCCACGTAGTTGATGAGTGTGTACATGTCGCTGGTGACCAGCATCAGCAGGGTGGAGATGCACTGCGGGGTGTGGGAGAAGCTCATTAGTGATCCGAAAAGTACTGGGAGTTGGGAGGACCTGTTGACAGGTCGGGGGGCTGTTCCCTTTCTCTAGGCAGACGATGCCATTTTATAATGGATATCTCAAAATGGAGACTTCACAACGTCCCCGAGGAGCCAGGGCCTTTGCTAATGCCTTCGCTGCCAGGAAGTTCTTTCTTGTTTTGATAATTCATTTAACCACAGGTATGGCATGAGTACTAACCAATTAGAACAGATACTAGCTGTGAATAACAGGATTGGCCATTCTGGTGGCACCAGCTCTAGGCTACCCTGGTCTCATTTATATTTCTTCTTTGGTTGAAACTCAAGCTAATTTTGTTTTTTATCCCTTAGGGAAGATCGTTAACTGCAGATTAAGGCTGTATTCTTGCCATCATTCTATTTTCCTGGCTGAGTCATCTAATTTATTTTTCTTCCTTCCTTTTCTTTTTTTTTCTTTTAAAAAAAATCATAAACATTTATATAGCACTTCCTTAGTGCCAGGCCCTATTTTTAACATTCTACAAATATTAACTCATTTAACCCTCATAATATCCCTGGGAAGTTTTCTTGATGGAGTCCACGTTCCAACTTCAAAATCATCTCAGTGACTTTCTCAGAACCATGTTCTTCCCTTCTGCTAATATGTTAAGGCCAATGGAAGGTTCAGTTCTGTAAGATATGATGGTGAAAATAATCAAGGTGATTTTAGGGGCTAAAAAAACCAGATTCTTACTGTACTGGCCTTACAGTCATAGTCCTGCACCAGTGGCTCAAACTGAAAAGAAGTCTGTGGCCCGCTGGGAGTATTGAGTGTTCTCCAGCTGCCTTTCACCACTCACTAATCAAGATGACCTTCTTCCTGGATCTGAACATTCTGAAATTCCCCCTCATACTGTACAGTGAATGCCCTTGACTCCTGAGAGCTGTGCTATCCTGGTCTAACTGCTTCTCTGGAGGACCAAAGTCATTTTTGATGTTTTATCAGAATTCAGAAGGAAAAACATAACCCCAAAGACTCACTGGGGACAAGTCTTTGCTCCTTTTTGCTCTCTCTAAATGATTCTACTCCAGGGCCATTCACACCCTATTCCACCCCATTCCCCCATCCCAAATTTCCTTTTCTCCATTCTCAGTTTACAGTTTTCCTTTCTTTATGATTTTTTTAATTTGGTGCACCCTGAACACTGAATTTGTTTCAGGGATGTTTCCCAAGAGGCTGGCAGGAAGGTGGATGGGGAGGGGTGGAGGTGTGCAGTGATCAGCCAGGAGCAGAGGCCCAAAGCTCCAAGCCTGTGGGTAACAGGTGCCGGGGGAACAAAGAAGTTTATTTGTGAGGTTGTAGAATCTTGAGGCAGCCACTTCAGCCTGACCCAAAAGGATGGGAGAATGGAATGAGCCAGTCTGAGAGCCTTAAGGTATCTCAGGACTCAGGGTCTTTCCTTGGTTGCTGTTAATCAAGCCCATGTCTACCATTTGCCAAATTATCTAAGACCCAGAGACACCGAGAACACAAGGGTGACAGGAGCATGGGCGGGAAGTGTGAACTCCCAGATCCAAGAGCAGCACAAAGGGGAGGGTGTGTGTCAGGCTGGCAGAGGGAGGGGTCCTTACTGTGAAGAGCAAGGCTGGGATTGGGGTGCAGCGCTTCACGTGGATCATGGCCAACACGCTGGGAAGGTGGCCTTCCCTGGCTCCAGCAAAGAACAGCCTGGCAGAGAGAAAAGCAGGTCACACACCAACCAAGGACGCTCCCTCCCCAGCCAGGCTCCCTTATCATCCCCCCTCCAGCTAGGCACCCGCCTTCTCGTGCACACCTTCCAGGACCCACGTTCACAAATGCGGGTGCAGGCAAACCAGAGGCAGTCAGTGGTTAAGTGGATGGGCTCTGGGGCGTGGAGACCCTGAGTGTGTTCTGGGTGGCTTAGAGTTACTGATTTCTGTTCCATCACGCTGTGGGGCTCTCACAATGCCTGGAGCACCGCAGGAGTAGCCTTTCTCCTTTGCCTGATGCCTTAATCCCTTTAAAAATGTGCCGCCTTCCTCCTCAAGGACTATGGATTCTTTGAGATGTGGGGATTGAACTGTACGTGAAAAGCCTTAAAAACAATGGTATCCTAGTAAGAAAGTAGTTGCTTACGTGGGGGTGGGGGATGGGTGGTAGACCAGAAAGGGACATGTGAGAACTTGGGGGATATGTGAAAATGTTCTATATCTTGTTTTGGGTGATAGTTACATGGCTGTCTACAATCACCAAAACTCAGCAATCTGAAAACTTACAATCTATGTATTTTATTCCTTGTAGATTATACCTAAAAATTTGTATCCTTAAGTTAATTATTCTAGTCCGAAAAAGCCATCCTAAAGAAATGAACAGAGATATATACACAAAGATATTCTGATGATAAAAAAAAAGATTTGAAATAGTCAAAATACCTTAAAATGGGAGACTGATTACATAAGTCTTGGCATATTCATAAGATGGAAGGTTATGCAGTCAAAATAATGTTTTTGGAAAAAACTGATTATATGAGAACATGCTCACAATATAACATAAAATGAAAAAAGCAAGATAGAAAACTGTACAATTCCATACAGGGTGATTCCAATTAATTAAGATATTATTTATAGGCATGTAAAAACAAACATTAAAATACCAACTGACTATCTCTGGGTGGTGGAATTATGAGTAAGTTAAATTTTCCTTCTTAGATTTTATAAATTAAAAAGATTTACATAGATAGGAAGCTTACAATTAGAATAAAAATTATTTCGGTTAAATTAACATTTTTATTTTGAGACAATCACAGATGTACATGCAGTCGTAAGAAATAATGCAGAGTGACCATATATATCCTTCACCCAGTTCTCCCACTGGTAACATATTGCAAAACTATAGTACAATAACATGACTAGGATAGTGATGTTAACAAGTTATTTTTAAAAGAGAAATTTTAACATAAAAAGCAGCCCTCCTTCCTCTTTCCTCTCCCAAGAAAAAAGAGAATACTATAAGCCGTTAAGAGTCATTTAGATATTAGTGTGAATTAGATCCCTTTTTTTTCCCTAGGATTTTGTAGGGAAAGGAGTACCTGAGGGGTGAGAGGAAGGGGACGGTGTGATGGGGACAGGAAGGCACAGAATCAGCAGGCTGGGAGGTCCAAGAGAACTGTCACTTTGTCATTTGTGTACGGGGGTGAGTGGAGCTAGCAGCTCATCAGAAGTGTGGGAGTGGATTAGGGCCCCACGGACTTGTATGTACCACCATCAGGTGCCATCATCAACTACCTCGGCCAGTGTCGCTGGTTTCATGCAGCCACATGGCATTGCCCCTCTGTAGCACAGCCTCATGCACCCGATGGGGCCCCAGGTGCTTTGTGGGCTTCACCATGCACATAACCAGGGTCCTGCATTCACAACCCTCCTCCACATGCAGCCAGGACCGCGTGGAGTTGTCAAGTTCAACAGTATTTGCAAGTCAGGTTCACAAGAGTCAATCTTTGCCCAGCTAGCCGACAACAACGGAGGAGACACGACGTGAAGCAAGACACACACGCGCACACACTCCTGCTCCTCAGGAAGGATCATCCTCTCCATAGCCTGAAACATGAAAGTGTTAAGAGGGAGAAAAAGGGGAAGGAGGAGGAAGGAAGGAAGGAGCCGGAAAGATGAGTTGAGGAGGCCAGCTGGGTGAGCTGTGCCTCTGAATCGGAGGCCGAGCGCACCAGGGCGGCCGCCTCCCGCATGCACACACAGCTGGACCACATGCATGCAGGCCGCTGCTCGGCCTGCCGGAGGGACA